TTTTTTTTTTTTTTCTTTTTCGTTGTTGTTTTCTCTCCGACTTGTTTCGTGCAGCCCGCTCCCCCGGGCCGAGGGCGAGCGCCGAGCGGCGTGCGTGGCTCTGCGTGGCTGTGTGCGTGCGAGGCGTGCGTGTGCGCTGGCCCTCGGCGCCCGGGCAGGCCGGGGGCAGAATAAAGGCAATAAGAATTTTCCCTGCGTCTCCTTGGCTCCGTCGCGCGGCCGGCGCCTCCCTCCCGCCGTGCCGGCAGCTCCGCCGTGGAGCGCGGCGGCTCCGGCGCCTTTGCCTCCTTCCCGCCGCCCCCGTGCGCTCCCGGCGAGGGAGAGCGGTGGGAAGCGAGCGCAGGGAGCGCGGCTGGAGGGCGGCCCGAGGGCGCTGCCGAAGCCGCGGGTTTGGAAGGGACCGGCTGGAATTCTCTCCCATCCGCCCGCTCGGGATGCATGGTCCTCRGGGCAGCTCTCCGGCATGGCCGGAGCACTGCCTCTCCTCCCGCATCCCGGGAGTTCTAGGGCAGCCGAGGCTGCTGTTCCCATGGGCGGGAATGTGGAAACGTGAGTGGCATCTGGGGGTGCCCTGGCCCCCGTCCTCCTGCGAAGCGGCAGCCTTGGAGCCTTCGGATGCACCCGATGGAGCCGCTGGCATCACTGAGCTCCCGGCCCTGGGCATTTCCCGGCATGCGGGACCCCGGCTGCCCCTCTTGGGACACGTCTGGCAGGATGAGCGCGCGCATTCCCTGCTCCTGCTCCTGCATCCGTGGCCAAGCGGGCGCCGCGCTTTCCTGCGGCCGCTCCCGGGATTCTCATTAACCACAGCCTCCTCCGCAGGGAAGGGCCAACCCGGAGCGGGGACAGCGGCCGGGCAGCAGCGCCGGGCTGTCCCCACCAGTGCCACGTGGGGCCAGGGACACGCAGGGAGCAGCAGCCCCCTCTGCATCGCGCACCCTTTCCTGAGCTTTGCTGCCACTTCCCAGGAAATTGGGGCTCCCACGGGCACCATCCTCATCCTCAGGGCCGTGGCTGGTGCTGACAGCTCCCTCCTCCTCCTCCCTGCGCCTCCCTGTRCCCGCCACCCGCCTTTTGATACCTTTATCTATATAAAGAGATGTATTTAATGCTGAAAGAGAAACAACGTCAAAAATCAGCGTCCAGAGAAATCACTGCGATTTGTGAGTTTGTAAAAAAAAATATTTTTTAATGGGAATACCTTTTTTTTTTTTCCAATTAAATTATTTAAGAAGTTTTATGGAGGCGCGCGGTGCCCGCGTGGTTCTTGCTGGGGAGGGAGGGAGGCTCCGGCGGGGGGACCCGCGTCCCGAGCCGGATCCCGGATCCCGGCTCCCCCTCCAGCCCCTGCCAAAGAGCCTTTTGTGCTGCCTGCTTTTTTTCCCCCCCTTTTAATTCCTAACTAGGAGATTAAGCGCAAGACAAAGGCTCCGATTGTTCCAGCGCCGGAGAGCGCGCTGGAAAGTTCGGGCAGGGGGAAGGCAGCAGCGGGCTCTCTGCAAACAGCCCCGGAGGAAGGGGCTGACGCGGCGGGACGGGGCCGGGAGCCGCCGCCTGGCACTGCCCGCAGCGCTGCAGGTCGCACCGGGCACGGGGCTGCCCTGGCGCCGCTGCCCGCGGGCACAGCGGGATCCCGAGGCGCCCGCGAGCGGCCAGGGCTCGTGCGGGAAGGCGGGAGGAAGAGCGAGGACGGATCAGGCGGGAGGAAGAGCGAGGACGGATCGGCCGCGACTTGGCCGCTTGTGCCCGGCCTGCGGGACACGTGCAGCCCAGGGCTCTCCTGGCGGGAAGGGCTTTCCCGGCGGCGGCCCCGCGCGCTTTCCCAGGCTCGCAGGGACCGCGGGACACCCACGAGCGCCCCGGCTCTGCTCCTTCTGTTTCCCGTTAAGATTATTTATTGGTAATTTTTAAGACCGCTTGCAGACTGTGTTCCCATTCCAGGCCCCTGCACGGCTTTTTCCCAGGGTTTTTTTTTTTTTTTTTTTTTTGCTTTTATCCTTTTCTTCCCGCTCTTGCCTCCCAGACCCCTTTGGGTGTGAACAGCGGGTTTGTACACAGAGCAGCATCCCTGTCCTGGGGCCACGGGGACACACCAGGGACATCACAGGGCTCAAACATCCCACCCCATCCCACATCCCTGGGGACACCCCGGGGTGCCGGGGAGCGGCTGCTGGGCCACATGGAAGCAGCACATCCACCGGACACTCCATCCTCCACAACGGGGGTCGAGCCGGCTCCGGGGGTGCCGGTGTGGGGCGCGCGGCGCCGGAGCCGCGCGGGCGGCTCCTCTCCCGYGGATGCCTCGGAGCTGACATCTTCCTTGGCAGCGAGCGCCCGCCTTAACCATCCCCGCCAGGCGGGAGCGCAGGGGCTGAGCCGGCCGTGGGCTGGGAAGGGGGTGTCCGCAGGGAAGGATGCCGGGAAGGAAGGGCAGCCTCGCTGCAGCACTCGGGGCAAGGGGAACGAAGCCCGGGGCGAGGGGCGCGTTGCTGGCACGCGCTGCGTTGCGGGGGGCGAAACGTCGCGGCTGGCTCCAGCGCGGCGCGGGGGCGACGCCGAGGCGCCGGGAGCCGTCAGCTTCGCTCCGGGATCCGCTAACGGGAAAGTTAATTAAACTGCAGGTTAGCGAGCGCTTGGCTCGGCGTGGAGGGGCGAGGACGAGCCGGAGCTGCAGCAGCAGAGCCAAAGCAGCCCCTGCTGACGCGCGGGGCTCCGCCGAGCCCACCGGCACCAGGCAGCGCCAGGGGGGCTCCTGGAGGCGGAGGACACGGAGCCGCCCGTTCTCCACGCGCTCCGGTGCGCTTCCAAAATCCCCTTCTCCATGCAGTGCCGCCAGGGAGGACAGCCCTTCCAGGGAGTGCAGCCACCAGAGCCAGGAAAATCCCTTCCCTTGCCCCAACAATGCCCTCTCTGGGGCGGGAAGCTGCTCCGGCTGCTTATTCCCTTTTATTGCCCCTGCTCCCTGCGGAGGCACCTGGAGCAGCCCCATTCCAGCCTAAGGAGAAGCTTCCTCTCCCCAGCGCTCAGCCCCATCTGCATCCCTGTGTTCAGCATCCTCAGCCTTGCTGCAGCGGCTCCCCGGCCCGACGCCCCACGGATGGACCCACGGATGGACCCACGGATGGACCCATGGTTGAGCCCACGGATGGACCCACGGATGGACCCACGGATGAGCCCACGGATGGGCCCACGGATGAGCCCAYGGATGGRCCCACGGATGGGCCCCGCGCTGCCGACACCGCCGCGGTTGACGTCTCTCCCGCTCCGGGGTCTCCGCCGCCCGGCCCACGCGCCGCCCCGCTCCGCGCAGGGGGATTTACGGCTCCCTCCCGCTCCAGGGGGCCGGAGGCAGCGCAGCCCTCACCACCTTAATGCACCTTTTTGACAGCGGAGTCTAACCGGCCTCGTAAACCCCCCACCCCGCGCCGCAGCCCCTCGTCACGGGGCCCCCGTTTATTAGCGCCGTAATTCTCCTCCTGGCATTTCATCAACGTCCTTTTAATCTGCACGTGGGGTTTTTTTACTTATGTTTAATACCAGCAGCTGTAAATGTTATTAGGGATGGAAGCGTGCAGGGAGCCTCGGGGGGCTCGGACGGAGGTGGCATCTGGGGACAGCCCTGTCCCCTGCAGCAGCCGCGGGCCGAGGAGCCGAGCGGGGCTGCACCRAGCGCGCTGGGTCTCTGCAGGATGCGGCTGCCCGCTTGCCATGCAAGGAGAGGCTTCCCAGGAAACCTTGGGATTTCGGCAGCGGAGCAGGCCGGGAGCTAATCCTTTGTGTCAGGCTTTCCGCTTTCATCTCATTAACTCCGGCTCTCCGTGCCGCTGCCCTCCCGGTTTTCCTGGCGGGGAGATAAGTCTCGGCGCTGGGCTCGGCGAAGCCTCCGTGCCGGCGCGCACGATGCTCCCGGTCGCGCTGACGCTGCCAGGCAGCTTCCATCCAATTACAGCGGGGTGAAGCTCATTTTAATTGCATAGAGCAACTGGGATTAAGCCGACTTTATCTCCTAATTCCCTCTTTATCTCTTAACTTCACACTCGCCGCTCGCATTGAAGGCAGGACGGCTTGTGCCGGCGTTGGCAATTTCCGCGGGCGCCTTCTCCGCTCGCGCGTCCAGGGGTGCCGGGACGAGGGCTCCCGTTGCCCCCTGCACCGGGCGCTGCCTCCAATGGGATAGTGCCCAGGAATAACCTGAGGCCTCCCAATTCCCAGGATTTCCCAATCTCCAGGAATAACCCAGGACCTCTATGGAGGCCTTAGCCCCGGCTTGGCTTGTGGCATCCCCAAGGGTCAGCGCAAGATCAGGCGATGGAAAGCGCCTTGTCCAACTCC